TCCTTCTTCATTTACTCTCTCATTTTGATGGAGCACTTCTAACAATAGCTTTGATCTTCGCTCTGTAAAATGCCTTTATGGTTTAGACATTTGATTGATTTTGTGGCTGAGAACAGACTTTGTGGTTTGGAATTTATTTTCTCTCAAAATTTTTATGTTCACTCTCCATTGTCTTTTGGTGTTTAAAAGTTGAAAAACAATCTAATTTTTGTTCTACATTTTTTCTCACTATTTTCTATTTTTTTCAAGAGTTTTTAAACTTTATTATGATGTGCCTTGTTGGGGTTCTATTTGACTAGACACTCAGTGAGTCCTTTTAATCTGCAAATTAATGTTGTTTAATTCAGGCAAATTTTCATGAATTGCTTCTTTGATTATTTCTTTCTCTCCATGTTCTCTTTTCTTTCTGTTATCTGGATGCTGAACCTCTAGATTGGTCTAATTTTCTTATCCTTTTTCTCCCATGTTCCTTTAAAAAAGAGACTTTTCTTAGTCTCTTCTTTCTGGGATATCATCCAACCTTTAGGTTTCCATTTCTAATATAATTTTGTTTCTCAGAAACAGTTTCTTTGTTCCTTTTTTTTAAAAAAATATCAACTTGTTTTTGTTTCATGGATGTAGTCCTCTCATATCTTTGAGGATACTTTTTCTGGAAACTTTACTAGTATTTCCCCAAATAGTTCTATTTCCTGTTTGTTTGCTTTAAGGCTTCATCTTTCATGTGAGGGGCTTTCCTCGGATGTCTGGTGGTCTTTGACTGTCAGCTCACATTTAAGGTAGTAAGAAAGGTAAATGCGTAGATAACACATAATTGGGGCTTAATAACTGTGAATTCCCTAAATCCAACTATGCTATTTATTCAGAACCCCAATATTATTTTAGTGAATATCTTCCTTTTCAGTTCAATTAGATTCACCAAAGAAGTTTTTACTCTCCTGCCTAGAAGTTATAAAATGGGCTAGTAGCATTCTGCAAACCAAATAGAAGAGAAGTGGGAGTCTCAATATTCAGCATGTAAAATGTCACTCAGTTCTGTTTTCAGTTGAGCACTCTGTCCTTCAGAATTCCTCCAAATTTCCCAGTTCAGGAACTTTGCTAGGATGAAAGAGGGAGAAGTTCTTGTCCACTTGTGAAGAGTAGAAAGGGAATGTAAAAGACAAATTCTTAAATAGAACTCCAAAGAGGTTTGCTCTGATTCCCACCTTTAACTAACTTTCATAAATCTGGGTCCCCCTAATTCCTAAGTTTTTTTGGAAACTAGTACAAATTAAATTGCTTCTTGGCTTTGCCTACTGCTGCTTTAGGATTCAACTTGCTTGGGATTCAACTATAGTCAGTTAGCTATAGTTTTCTGCCCTCTAGCTCCCAAATTTTGGTTACTGTCATTCATCTCTATTCTGCTTTTCTTTCTTGGCTTATTCTTTTTAATAAAATATTTAATATTCTGTTGTATTTTAGTGTGGTTTTGAAAGGGAATGAAGTTAAATGTGTATGTTCAATCTGCCACCTTTAACCAGAAGTCAAAGGTGTTGATTTTATTGTCTACTATATAGTTTCTTCTTTTTTATTTTATTTTTATTGAATTTATAGTTTCATTTTTTAAGCATTTCTTAGATTTGAGATAAAGATTTTTCTTAAAAATAAATTTTTCTCTGGAGAAAATGGGAAATTACCATATTCAGTTCTATACTCTGTCTCAGAGTAAGATTTGAGATTGCTGTTCACATATTATATATTTTCATTTAAATGGTTTTATTGCCATACAGACCTGCTTCCTTCACAGCATGTGGTGATATGTATTCCTGGGTTGGCCTGAAAACAATAACTGAGAGCCATATATTACATAGCTCAAGCTCTTATAATTATGACATATAATAAGATGATCAAATTTTCCAAATCAAACACTGGACAACTTAGTTGAAACATTAAGGAAAGTAAGTAGATCCACGAATGTTGGGCCAATGTACTATGTAAGTTTCATTATCTTAACGCATGTTTGAGATGATTTTTTTATTATCACACTGTGTTTTATGAATAAAGATCATAAAGACTCAGAGAAGTCAAGGTACTTCCCCAAACTCATACAGCTAGTGGGTGACAAAGGTAGAATTTGAACCCAGAATTCACTTCAACGCTAATACTCTTTGGAGTGAGTGTGCATACGAAAATCAGGACACATGAGACTGCATTAAAGATCCCCAGAACTTGGTGAAAAGTCAAAGAAAGAACACTATCAGCAATAGTAATCAGAAAATTACATCACTATTGTTTGCACCTTCTTACACAACCATTTCATTGTATACTAACAGCCCTATGAGCTGGCAATATAAATTTAAGTTTTATAGTTGTTTCTCTCAAATATGTAAAACATTGTTTGCCTATAGCTATAATTTACTTACCTCACAAACACCTTTTCCTGGTCATCATTGTCTGTCTCCTCTCACTTCCCCTCTTCCACATCCCCAACGCCTCCATCCCAGCCCCTGCAATACACACCCTGTCACCACCATTTCCACAGATAAAGTAAAACTTAATCTTACCAATTGGTAGTTGCTTGGTCATTTCTGAAATAAAATTGAGTCAATTTAGGCTTTAAATTAAGTTTCTTCCCTACCCCTTACTTTCTCCTTTCCTTCCACTCTTCTTCAAGTTTCTGGGAGACTCTTATCATTCTGGCGTCAGTGGGTAAGTATGGGATTCCACACTCTTCCCTCTGCTTGCTGGTCTCTGCTGAGTTACTGGTTGGCCCTTGCATATTGGCACCATATGCCAGCACCTACTGAGATGTGGTTCTTCTTGCTGAGCCTCATACGGAACCTACTGCCATGGTCTCCAGTTGTAAGGACCTTGCACTCTTTGCTGCGTTTTCTTAAACCTCAATCTCCTTTTTGTCTGCCAAATCAGTCTTCAAACTTTTGCAATCCACTCATAGGCTTCAGGAACTTTTCAGGTGCTCTGCCACAATACACACAATACACTGGTGTTGTAAAATCCAAAGATGTCTTCAGACAACCCTCCCAGCTACCTTCCTAAGACATTACCTGTGCGCTCTATACTCAGACACCTAGATGCTCTTTCCTGGCTGGGGGGCAGAATCTATTTCCTCTGCATAGGAAAACATCTATTTTATCCTCTTACATTCTTGCCTATTTATAGATTTTATGCCATAAACTTTATAATAAGAATATATAAGGCAGCTCTATATATCCTGAAATGATCAATTGACAAAACATCATGTGAAGAGAGCAAAGTAAGAACAATGTGTATAACTTGCTCCATGTCTGTAAAAACTTGTTTAGATAAGGCAATGCATTAAACATTTCTGGAAGAAGACACGAATCTGGATCAGGTTGCCTTCGGGGAGGGAAAGCAGATGTCTGGGGAGCAAGACTGGAAAAGAAATTTTTCACTGCTTTTTTATATCTTTCAAATTCTGTATTATGCAAATAATTTATTCAAAAAATAAATAAAAGATCATTGTAAAACATTTATAATCTGGCTTCTTTAATCTTGCCAGGCTCCAAATCATCTGATTCTCAGCCACAGACAGAAAGAAGCTCTTTTGGCAAAGCTGTCTTTTCTCCCTCCTCTGCTTCCTGATGTGCCTCTCTGTCTTGTGGAACGAAGGCTGCATGAAGCAGCAGCCTACTTCAGCCTTCTGACTGTTTGCCTTACAGTAGAAGGGAAAATACTTCAGTAGGAAGATGGCCTGAGTCCCAAATATAACAGATGATAGTTTAGCTATTTTGCTAACTTGCCAGACTGAGATAGAGGGTCCTCATTACCCTTCACTTAACCCCTTTGTCCAACCCAAGTCTATATTTTAGGGTCTGTTCCTTGCAAGAATTTTTGTTATGTGTAGGCTTACCACACTGAATAGGTATTTAATAAATTATGATGACTATAAATGCATGAATCAATTTTATAAGAATACGCCACCTAGGTTCATTCTAAATATATTAACTGAGAGAGATTTTTAAAGGTTGTATTTTAAATTTTCTGAGTGTCTGTTAATTATAGCTCTCTTTTTTCCCTGATCCAAAAGCCAATTAAGGATCATATATTGTATTCAGTTGTCCTATCCATTTAATTTTCTTTCATCTAAAAAAACTTCCCAGCCTTTTTGTGTCATGACATTGACTTTTTTTTTTTTAAGTCTGGGTCAATTGTTTATAAGATGTTCCTTGATTTAGATTTTTCTGAATTTTTAAATTATTAGATTTAGATTAAATATTCTTGGCAAGAATACTCCATTGGTAATGCTGTGCCTCCTCCAGATAATATAAAGAAGAAATTGGTAACACAGTAGATGAGCACTCTACTATGACTTGATGGAAGGTCCAGAATGAGTTTTCAATTCTCTTTGCTTTAATTTTATACTGATAGGTCATTTTTAAGTGATTTGGTAGTTAAATAGACCAGGTATCAGTAAATAGTATTTTATTCAATCCATTGGATATCACTTGGAACAGCAAAAGTGTTCTTCTGTTAAATTGATCAGTTTTTTGTGAGTTTGTAACAGTTTGGGGAACCGACAGAAGTTTCTGATTTGCGAAGTGAGGGCCAAGTGATAATAATATCCACCTCACAGCATTGAGTTGAGAATTACCTGAGATGTGAACTCAAGTAATGACATGAAATATCACTTACAGTAATATACCCTGTGAAGGGTCTCTATTAATGTCACCAACCCTACCCAGGTATTTATTTTTTAAACCACATATATATCATATACTATTGTATATGGCAGTGTTCTAAATATTTTATGAATATTAATCTTTGTAGCAAAAATTGGATACTGTTATTATCATCCCCATTTATAGATGAGGAAACTGAAGTACAGAGAAGATAAATATTTTTTCCAAGGTTACATAACAACTGTTTCCTGTGAGACCCCATTTAAAAGCAGGCAGCCTGTACAGCTCCAATGTGTGCTTGAAGATAGACTTCATTCCACCTCTCCTTTAAATTAATGCGTGTGTCTGTGTCACTTCTGTTTCAGAGAGAAGAGGTACTCCCATGTAGGGATTCCTAAAGGCATAGAGCACCTAGAGATTTGCTGCCTCCATTACGCTGCTGGGTCTCACAGCACTTGTTATGTTTTTAAGTTTCTCTCCAGAAGGTAGGAATTGTGTGTTTTTCTCTCCATGAATTATTTATATAATTATAGATTTCTTGTCTGTGAATTTAATTTTTTTTAAATATTAAAAGCATCTTCTGACATCCAGAGATTAAAATGCCAAAGAGTTAAGGCACATAATCACATTGCCTCTATAAAAACATTTTCTATTCTAAAATTAATACATATTCATTGTAAAAAAAAAAAAATATATATATATATATAAAATAGTACAGAAATGTATAGTAATCCTACCACCTTGAAATAACCATTTTTTTTATTTTGTTGTAATTCTTGCTGAATTTGATGCATATATAATAAATATCTAAATAATTATTAAGATTATGACTGGCAACAATAGGATATAAATTAAACACTCTTTGGCTACAGTGCTTCTTTCACTTAGCAAGTTGTGGCATTTGTCATGCCAGTAAATATCATCCACATTAGCATTGTCAAAGGTCATATAATAATCTAATTTAAAGGTATAACATAAATTGTATAACCATTTTCCAATTATTGAGTATTTGAGATGTTTCCAATATCTCCCTGTGGTTAACATGACTTCGATGAATGTACTTGTGCATACATCTTTGTATTCATGTCTAATGATATTTAGGACAATTTCCAAAAGTAAGTATTGTAGAACCTTAGTTCCTAAGCATGCTCTCTGATGAAAGGGTTCCAGGACATATAATATAAGAAAACACTGACTATTACCCACCATCTTGAAGAATTCCAATATTTAGTAGTATACTAAAGTCTTAGAAATCAAACTTATTTGATTATAGAACCCTTTCATAAATAAAACCTGTCTATGGGCTGTTGAGAGTTGGAGAAGTTGTGCATGTGTGGGAAGGGGGCATATGGGGAATCTTGTAGTTTCCACTCAATTTTGCTGAGTCCAAAACTTCTCTAAAAAATAAAGTCTATGTTATAAAAAGCAAAAGGAAATGTTAAAGGGAAATATATTTAAGTGCCATTGTATACATTTACATTTCAAATTAAATTTAGACTTGCACACATACACATAATACACACCTGATAACATCCCACTTAACACTTTGGAAAATACTAGCTTATGGTATATTCTTAAAAAGGGAATTGGTGGATCAAAGAGTAAATATACTGAAAGTCTACAAATTGCATTTTTACCAGCAGTATGGAGGAGTGCCACTTTCACTGTAGTTTTGTCATTTGATAGTAACTGTTTATGTTTTACATAAATCTGATATGAGAAAAGTATATGGTATTTTAATTTTCATTTACTTGATTGCTAGTGAGATAAATGTCTTTTTATACTTTCATTTGCCCATCATTTTTCTTTTATGACCATCTCATTTATGCCCCATTTCAAATTTTTCTTAGGCTTTTTAATGGATTTTTTTGATTGCAAAGAATCAAGAATCATATTAAGAATATTAACACTGTAAATCACATGATACAATTATGTTTTCCCTCATTTTCCTCTTTTTATATTTTGTTTTATTTTATGTATTTTAATTTTGCCATGTAAGGTTGGCATCTTATGAGGTTCAATCATTCTGTCATCTTCATGGATTCTGAATTTGGTGTCTGTATGTTCATTGGCTTTTTCTAAAAAACTTTATTATGGATAGTTTCAAACATAGAAGATTTGGGAGAATCTATTCTATAGATATAAAAGCCTAAGTGACCAGCCAATTGGCTGACCAGCCAGTACCTATAATACATAATGACCACCAGGGGACAGATGCTCAACGCACAGGCATGGAAACATGGAACACACTGATGAATCTCAGAGGGGAGGGGGAAGGAGAGAGGGTGGGAAGAGATTAACCAAGGATCTTATATGCATACTAGAGGGGTCCTTCGGCCTGGCCTGCGGAGATCGGGATGGAACCGGTTCTCCAACATCCCCCGAAGGGTCCCAGATTGCGAGAGGGCACAGGCCAGGTCATCGGACCTCACCAGTGCACAAATCCATGCACCGGGCCTCTAGTAGTATAATAAACCCCCATGTATTTCAATCTGGCCTCAATGATTAACAACTCATGGCTAATCTTTTTCTTTTAAAACTCTTGTAGTATGTTGAAGCAAATGCAGACATTAAGTTATTTCATCTATTAATATTTCAGTATGAGAGTAACTCTAAAGGTAGTTTTACCTAACCTGTATTTTACATCTGCCATAGTTTTTCTTGCTGAAATCATTGACTTCCACTACAACATACTTAATATTATACCAAACATCAACATTAGCTAAGATTAGTTACCAATTTATAATTTTAAAATAGCCTCCATAAGAATTTAATATACTACTTGTGACCAAAAAAAAAATGTTACTCATTTTTCATGCTTTAAATATACATATATCTATGACCCATACTTTTTTTGTTGCTAAAGTTAAATCAATAAAAAGCCTCAGTTTCCATTTTTACTGAAGATAAGCCTTATTATAACTCTTTTTACACCACAATATAGATATTATTTTTCTGTCCTCAGAAGGTACTGTCCTAAATTGCTAATTGTTTTACTACATTAATGGGGAATTTTTCAAGACTTTTGAATAAAACTTGACATATGCCTCTCCAGAAACGTAGCAGATTTTTTTTTTTGAATTCTTGGTTTAGATGGAATACAAAATTTTATATGTTTTTTTCTTTTATTGTCTAAAGTTTTACATATGTCTTCTTTTTCCCCAATTGACCCCGCCCCAGCCCTTCCTACCCCAGGCAAGCCCCCAGTGTCTGTGGCCATTGGTTATGCTAATATGCATGCATACAAGTCCTTTGGCTGCTCTCTAACCCCGCCTCCTTTCCTACCATTTGTCTCTAGATCAATCTATTCTTGTTCATCAAATTATGTTGATCATTATATCCCACATATTGAATGAGGTCATGTGATATTTATCTTTCTCTGACTGGCTTATTTCGCTTAGCATAATGTTCTCCAGTTCCATCCATGTTGTTGCAGATGTTAAAAGTTCCTTCTTTTTTTATAGCAATATATTTACGTGGTTTATGTGATTAATATCTGATTACTTTTTAAGATATCAGTTAAAAAAAAAGAGTACCTTTTTTTTCTTTTTTCTTTTTTTAGAGAGAGGGAAGGAGAGGGATAGAGAAATAGACTCATCAATGTTGAGAGAGAATCATAGATCAGCTGCCTCCCACATGCCCACACTGGGGATTGAGCCCATAACCTAGGCATGTTCCCTGCCCGGGAATCAAACCATGACCTCCTGGTTCATAGGTCAATGCTCAGCCATTGAGCCACATCAGACAGGCAAGAAAGCAATACTTTCTTAGGGTCTTCTATGGCGTTTGATAGTGAATATAATAGTTCATTGGAAATTAGGAAGATATCCCATGGTTACTACTGCCAGAAAGAGTACAGAACATAATCAGATATGGTTCTTATATAAAGAAAGATACAAAAGCAAAGTTAGTCTCAACTAGAAATAGAATTGTCAATGTATATGAAAAGCAGAGGAGGAAAATAAGTATGAGCCTTAGTCACAGCTAAGTAAAATCATGTAAGATTTAATAGTTAATAGAGATCTTTGTGTTAGTATTGTCAGATCATATTATTTTATGAATGAGAAAACAAAAGAACAGAGAGTTTAACTCATGTTTGTCCGAAGTCATGCAAATGGTTTTTATTTATAGTTTTCTCAGAAGACATTTAAAAGGTTCTAAAAAGTTATCATTATTAACAACAATAAGTAACAATTATTGAGTGCCTACTCTAAACCAGAGAATCTACTAAATATTTTTTATCATTTGTCTCATTTAATCCTCACATATACTTTTGGTAAGAACTATTATTATCCCTTTTATAGAGGTAAGGCAACTGACGCTAATCCAGGGAGTCTGAGACATATAGCCCTCCCTCAGTAAGACGTTGTATTTCACTATCACTCAAGCAGACAGAATTATGGGAAGAATAGAGAAAGGATTGCAATCTTCAATCCTAGAAATAAGACAAGAGTGGGAACTTTAGGCAGAATAGATGACAAGAAATAATATTTTGACATCCTAAGTAAAAAAAAAAAAGTGAAAGGTCTAGTTAAAGAAATTTGTGGTGTGATTTAATTCTGGCTTATTCTCTGATTTTCAGGAACCATTGCATCCCTCAATTCATTTTTGCATTTAAAAAAATTTATTTTGGATTTTTGAATAAACAATGTCTTATGACAACTATTACAAAATTCTGAAGTTACCAAACTCTTCTCCATTATCACTGCTTTTCATATCCCCTTTAAGGACTTTATATATCCAGTTGCATGTATTATGCAATGCAGTCCCTAAGTATTTTTGTTATTAAAATATATTTTTAATAAATTAGTGAAGAAAGCAACAGTCCAAACAGATTGCTTGTTGCTCTAGGTTTTCATGCTTACTTTAGTGGATCTCTATAGGTGCATGAATTAGACAAAAAAATAAATCATGAAAGAAGAAATGATTTTCAAAAATGAGTATGCAAGTTTAGTTCTAAATAGCAATAGCAATCACAGTTTTAGCTTGAGGCTTTTCTGAGGGATTGTGAATAATGATTAGGGGAGATTATAGGCCTGAGGCAAAGCCTTGGGACATTGACGCACATAGCCAGCCATACAGCCTCCAAACACTGGTCTTTAGGTTGGCGAGTATTGGTTGAAATACCAGAGGGAATCAAACCAGAAGCTGTCACTTTATACCAAGGACCATCTCAGGAGTCTGAAGTTTAAATGGTAACATAAATGTTTACCAAAACAAAAACCCTTGGTAGGTTTTTCAGGTCCTGTGGTTTTATTTTTACTGCTTTGGGTATGTATATTAATTTGCCTGTAGACGGAATTATGTATAAAAAATTGTAACACCAAGAAAGTAATATCACTGTTGAAAATTGTGTTCAGATATGTCTCTACATCTATTCAGGGGAAATAGGTAAGATTTTTGTTTTAAAAAAGATAACAGCCTTTGCCGGTTTGGCTCAGTGAATAGAGCATCAGCCTGCAGACTGAAGGGTCCCAGGTTCCAT